TTTAGAACTGGATATGTCAGAAAAATACAAAGGGAACAGTGTGTGTTAGCATGTGTGCTTCTCTGTCTGGGGAAGTCATTAGCTGCCCCAGAAGAGGCAGCCTGCAGAGCAGACACCCAGGGAAAGTGTGCTCCCCAGAGAGACAGGCAAGAGCAGAGGCCTGACGTTAGATGGAGCCTCTGCCAGGGCCCAAATGGGCAAGAGCTGAGAGCCTGAGGAGCCACAGGAGATGACTGCAGACAGGAGATCAAAGGCAAGGTGACTCCAATTTGAGTGGGGGTGCAGAGGGCAGGGATGCAGTGCTTGGCAAACACAGACTAGGAAGCTGTGTGAAGGGACAGAGGAGTGGAGGCAGGAGGCCTTACCCAGCCATCCAGTTTAGAGATGATGGGTCTCTAGAGTGGGAGAGAAGAGAGGAAAGTGGATGGAGGTGTGAGAGAACAGAGAGACAAGTTGTGGTCAGAACTGGGGAGGCCAAGAGGGAGAAGAAACAAAGGGGAGGCAGATTTGACCTTAAAACCCAAGCATTTTACTACCGGCAGAGACTGTCCTTTTTGTGTCTCATTGTCCAGGACAATAGGTGGGTACCTAGTACATAAGCAAAATGAGTATTTATTGAGCACCTACTATGTGCCTTCCTCAGTCCTAGGCACCAAGAATATACCACTGAACACAGCGAAGTCCTTGGCTTCTTATAGCTTACCCTACAAAAGGAAAGGGAACCAATGTGGGGGGGTGTTAAAGGGGTCTGGTATCAAATTCTAGTGTGGTAAAGGGCCCCCCCACTCCTACAACAAACAATTCTCTGGACACCAGCTTGGTATTCTAAAATTTAATTCATTTCTGACACTGTCTACCTAGAGATATTATCAAATCCCATATGTTAAAGGTTCAGTACTATAAGACTCTACCCCCAAGGCCCCCCATTTCAGATGGCAGTCACAAGCCCAGGATGTCACCTGTGCACCTGATGAACTGGGTAGAAATCAGAGATTCTGCAACCTCCTCCTTGTGTTTGATCAATTTGCTAGAGCAGTTCACAGAATTCAAGAATATTTTACTTACTGAATATCAGTTTACTGTAAAAAGGTCTGATGAAGGACACAGATGGACATCCAGATGGGAGAAGTGTCTAGAGGGGAAGGTAGGAGAAAGGACACCTTCTGGGTCCCCTCCCAGAAAGCCATTCTCCCCAAATCCACACATGTTCACTAACATGGAAGTTCCCTGAATCCAATCCTCGGGGGTTTTTATGGAGACGTAATTGATTAAATCACAGGCTATTGGCAATTAATTCAACCTCCAGCTCCACTCCCATCTCCCTTCCTCTGAGATCAAGGAGTGGGACTGAAAGTTCCAATCACCTGGCAGGTGGAGGCAACCTGCGTCCAGGTGGTTGTGTTGTGAGGTGATGAGTATTAAAGATGAGTGTCTTGGGCCTCTCTAGTGGTGCAAGGGGTTAAGACGCAACCTATGAAGCTATCGGCAGCCACTGCAGCACGAGTTCGATCCCCGGCCAGGGAGCTGCCCACATGGCACAGCAGACCTCTCCTGACTCGCCTGCTGCTCCCCTCAGCAGAGTATTTCAGTCAGTCTGCCTGTTCTGTTCCCCACTCTGTCGCTGGTGAGTTCTCTCACCCCCACACCTCTGGCCTGTACCCCAGTTGTTCTACGTAAAAATAAATAAATCTTTAAAAAAAAAAAAAAAAGAATGTCTTGAGGAATACCTGCTTTCCAAGCAGAGAATGCAACATATGCAAAAGCCCTGAAGTGAGAGAGTGCTTGTTGACTGACCAATAGATAGAATGTTTTTTAAGATTTATTAATTTATGCATACAAGAGCTGGGGTGTAGGCCAGAGGAGCAAGGAGGTGAGAGGATTCACCAGAGGCAGAGTGGGGAACAGAATAGGCAGATCTAGGGAAATACAATGCTGAGGGGAGCAGCAGGCGAGATAGCAGAGGTCTGCTGCTGCCCAGCCATGTGGGTTAGCTCACTGGCCCAGTGATAACTTCATAGTGCTGAGAGTTAACCCCTTGCGCCACAAGGGGGGCCCTAGATAGAATGGTTTTGTTGATTCATGGGTCAGTACCTAAGCCCTTCCTTGGAATGTTCTAAGAACAATACCTGGCTCTTTCATATCAGAAGTGGAGTTGCTGGGGTAGAGAGGGGCCCATTTCTTCCTTTATGCCATTTCTTTCCTCCCAACACTGGCAGATCTAGAAGTGCAAAGGAAGGACAAACACTGTCTCTGTCATAGCATTTGGAGAAAATGCAGAGAGTCCAGGTACAGGGCTGGTTTTGTGTTGTCCCAGAGGCACCAAGCTCTTACTGGTTTTAATCCTTGGGGGTTCCACCCTGCCATCCCACCCCTACTTCTGTCCCTGCCGTGACACAAATAGCACTGGGAAGTCACTGCTCCTTCAGACAGTCATCTGATGAGTTATCTGCCTCTCTATCTCTCCAGGCTTGGGGCTATACGATGGACGGGTATGCTGTGGTTACTGCCACGTCCTACTCTGCCCCAAGCCCTGAGCACTGGGGATGTGAGTGGGAGACTCCAGGACCTTGGAATGCAGGGGATCAGCTCAGGGATCCAGTTCACAGAAGATGCCTGGGCTTCAGCACAAATCATCCAGATTCCCAGCTGAGTTCCAGGACTTGATATGACCATAAAATGGTCAGGACAGTTACCTCCTCCTTGTCATTTCAAGTCATTTCTGCTTCTCTAGCTATTTTGCTGACAAACAAGTTGCTCTTAATTCCAAAGATTCAAGACTTTCTTTTCTTACCAACAAAATATTGTGGGCAGCATATCCCCAAACACGCCTGACATGCACACATGGAATCTTAGAAGGCACCCGCTGGATGGGGATTACCCAGCCTGATAGTTTTTCTGATTTTAATTCTGTTCTTTTTTTTTTTTTAAAGATTTATTCATTTATGCATAAAAGAAGAGTGGGGTGTAAGCCAGAGGGGCAGGGTAGGGCAGGTGAGAGGATTCACCAGAGACAGAGTGGGGAGCAGAAGAGGTGGATTGACTGAAATACACTGCTGCAGTGGCTGCTGATAGCCTGACAGCACTGTGTCTTTAACCCCTGTGCCACCAAGGAGGTCCCTTAATTGTGTTCTTAACTCCCCTCCTGGTTAGGTTAAATAATGCAGGTCCCTGTAATCCAGCATGTTCCACTCACAGAGATTTTGGGTTTCAATATGGCCCTGGATTCTGGCACTTCTGGCACCCTTGAGTGGGGGAAGATAGGTAGGCTGGTTGGAAGGATCCAGAAAAGAGAAGGGCTGCCTTTAGTAGATGAGTGGTTTTCAAAGCACAGCCTCCAGACCTGCAGACACAACTTTGCCAAGTTAGAAAAACACGTGTAGGGCCTCATCCAAACCCACTAGGTCAGAAATTCTGGAGTGGGGCTTCACAATCTGTTTTGATAAGCCCTCCAGTTGATTCTGATGGAGAATGGTGGTAAGAACTCAGGTCCAGATTGGCACGTCCAGTTAAATCCAGTTTTAGCTCCTCAGGAGACTTGGATGGTGAGAGGCTTTGGGCCAGGACTTTTGCCTGCAGGGGGTTTTACAGAGTCCCTCCTGCAGTGATCAGATAAACATTCACCTAGGAGAGGCAAAGACAATTGTAACTTCTCCCCTTTAGCATGCACCTGGCTCTGCTCTTGGGGTGGAAAAGTGCAGTGACTTTGAATATCCTTGGGTGACTTTATTATTTTTTTTAAGATTTATTTATTTATGCATACAGGAACTGGGGTGTAGACCAGAGGTGCGGGGGAGGGGGTGAGAGCATTCACCAGAGACAGAGTGGGGAACAGAACAGGCAGACTGGCTGAAATACACTGCTGAGGGGAGCAGCGGGCGAGACAGGAGAGGTCTGCTGTGCCATGGGGGTAGCTCCCTAGCGGGCCAGGCATCGAACTTGTGCTGCAGTGGCTGGTGACAGCTTGATAGCGCTGCTGTCTTTAACCCCTGCGCCACCAGGGAGGCCTTGGGTGACTTTATAAGGGAGCTGCCTCCCTGCCAGAAGAGCCAAATATTTGACTTATCCCATTTAATTAAGGAAACAGAGGACCTCTCTGAATCTTAAACTGGAACCCCTCTCCCATCCTCCTTAGCAATACACACTTTCTACAACTGAGGAGGGAGAAGAGGTCTTAGCCGGAATTTACAGCTCTTGGGCCCTCCCTCGGCTCCCTATCCCCTCCCCCGCCACCCCGTCTCCTCGGGTGTGCTGGCTTTACGCACTGCCGGGGGACTCAGCCCCTATCAAGTCAAGAACACTTTTTTGTTCGTTTGTCCATCCTCCTTTAGGGGAACAAAACTAACTCAAGAATTGCCCCAGGAGGCTCTGCTCCGCTCAAGTCTATGGAGGGCTCCCAAGACCCCGATATTTCACAAAAATCTCATTTCTTTACCGTGGCTCGCAGACCTTCAACAAGCGGCCAAAGGTCACACCGCGGGAGGCGGAGGCGCAACAATCAGGTGTCCCCCACCTCGGAGGCCTCCCTCCTCCTCCTGACGCTGGAGCCGGCGAGCGGGGGCTGGAACCGAACCCTCTGGCCCGTCGGCCCTCTAGGAACCTGTGCCCCGGGCAAGGCGGTCCTCCCCGAGTGGGGCGCAGGGGTGACTCCGAACCCCGCGTCGACCGTGTCAGTCCTTCCCGCGGAGCCCGATCCTCACACCCTCACTCTCAGCCCGGATCCTCTGTTCCTCGGGCCGGGTGCTCCCCGCCTTATCGAGCGCCCGATCGCCCCCCAAGGCTCCCGCCCCCGCGGCCCCCCGCGGCCCCGCTGACTCAGGTGAAACCGAGCTGCGCGGCGGAGGGCGGCGGGGTCAGGCCAGCCCGCCCGGGTTAGGAGCCGGCGTGCAGGCCCCCGCCCCCCCTGCCCGCCCCGTCCCCCGCCCCGTCCAGCCGCCCCGCCCCGCCGGGGAGAGGTCCGGGCCGCGGCGGCCGCAGCGGAGTCGCCGGAGGGAGCGCGGGGCCAGCGCGCGGAGCCGGGGCGCAGCATGACCGCCATCGCCGTGCAGGTAGCCCCGGGGCCCCGCGGGGTGCGGGCCGGCCGCCCCGGGCTGGCGGGGTCCGCCCGAGAGAGGGGGCGGGCGGGGTCCCGCACCGACAAAGAGCCCCTGCCGCTCGCCGGGGCAGCGCCCGCTGTGGCCGCCGGGCTCACCCGCCTGCGGGGTTCCCTGCGCGGGGGGCTGGACGCGACGTGGGGGCGGCCGGCCCCCCACTTTACTCTTGCAGGCAGTCTCCCGGCTTCTGTCGGTGGCCAGCACCAGAGGCGTTCACGCTGCTCGGGGAGGGTTTTTCTGCTTCCCTTTGGGGTCACCCGTGGCCTCGGGGCTGTGCTCCCCAGAGGGGTTTCTCTCTTTTCGAGAACGAGGCACTGTGGACAGGAGGATGCGCCGAGCCCGCCGGCTGAGCGAGGTTTGCTTATGTAACAGAGGATGCGCCTGGGGGAAGCCAGAACTTTCTTGGGCAAGGATTAGAAGGACCATCTCCTTCCCCCAGAACTGCGTTTGGGGCGCGGAGTGGACTCCCTGGGGTGCGAGGACACCTCCCCCCAGTCAGGGAAGCGGCCCGCATCCCCGGAATGTTTGGTTTCTTTAGAATGAGGCCTGGTGTCATGTTGGCTGTGCACTTACGTATTCTCACCCCCTCCGCTGAGAAGGAAGGCGGTCCGTGGCCCCCAAGGGGAAGCTTTCTTTATAGGGAGGCTTCCCACTGGCTCTCCTCTCCCAGCTGGGCTGCCCTGGCTCTTCGGGAGACCGGCTGACTTTGCGTGCAAATATTCAGACTCCCGCTGCGCGGCCTCCGCCCATTTTATAGATGAAGCAACTGAAGGTCTGAGCTGGACTGCCTCAGACCCTGGGGCCAACTAGTGACAGAAACGACATTAAAAGCCAGATCCCAAGGCACCAGCCCCCACGTGTCCTTCCTCCCTTAACCTAGCTGGAGATCTCCCACTCACCTCCCAACCCTTTCCAGCCGGGACACAGCCACCGCGCAGGAACAGGGTCCAGTGAGTTCCTCCCCTTTGTCCAGGGGCTTCATCCTGGGGCATAATCTTGAATCTTGACTAGTCAGCTTCCTGGGCAGGTCCTGAGGAGCAGGGGATGGTCAGTGAGGAGGTGGGCCTGGGTGTGGTCTCTGCCTTCAAAGAGCTCAGGGTCCTCTTGGGGAACTAGACTTGTAAACAAGGGTCAGAAGAGATGACCCTTGAGTGCTAAATTAAAAGGTGTAAAAGCTGCAGACAGGATTAACTGGGGGCAGGTGGCTTGTGCCGCGCTGGGGGGTGGGGTGGGGGCAAGACTGGCTGCAGTATGGAGGGACTTAGTCTTTAGTGGAGGAAGAAGACAGGGTGTGAATGAAGCCTTGATAATGGGGTTGAGCGAGTGGGGTTCTTGGGTTCCCTTAAGAATGAGTTCAGCAGAGTCTCCTCTTCAGGTGTTTATTAAGGAAGAAGAGCTGAAGAGACACCTGCTTAGACATTGCCTGGCAGGGAATTGCATGGCACAGGGTAGGGGGGGTTTCTCTCTCTCTCTCTTTATTTTTATATATATATATATATAATATTTATATAATATTTATATAATTTTATAAATAGAATTAGATATTTATATAATATATAATTATACAATATATAATATATATTTAACTTTCATGGAATTTATTCTTTGTGGGATTTATCACTTGGGGGTCCAGTTCAGTTGGTTTTCTATAACTGATAATCCTTTCTGCCCCCACCTCTGTTTTTTGATCTTTTGAAAACTCCCATCCTAAATTTTCCACTCTCAGCTCCCCTCGCTGTGACTCTTTTCTGGGGGAGGTGGGCACATGTTACCTAGAGAGGATGGTTGCTGTGCCCCTGTGACACTAACTCCTGCCACTTCAGAGCATTTAACTACATGTTGGGGATTTGGAGGAGATAACTCACATCCCCACAACCCCCACAGGAAGTAGATACCATATCCATTTATAGGTTAGAGAAAGGATAAGCAGCTTACCAGAGGGCAAACTACTAAGAAGCAGACTGGCTGGCTCCTGCCCTTCTATGCCCAGGAGTCCAGCAGGCAGGGATGGCCAGCTCAGCTCCAGGGCAGGACAGAAGGCAAACTCTTCAGGAGGAATGTCCAATTTATGCTGATGATGAGGCCTGGCCTGGACCTAAGGAGCGTGGAGCATGAGTAGTGAGCTGTCCAAAGTATTGTGAGGGTTGAGGAGAACAGATGGAGTTATAGAGGAAGATATGACTTAGTAACCCAGAAGTGTCAAGTGACATTGTTCTATAGGTTACCAGAAACATTTGGGGTTACAGATGAGAAAAGAGAAATAGGAGCCTCCTTGGTGGCCTAGGGGTTAAGTCTTAGTGCTATCACTGCTGACCCCCCACCCTCCACACTTCTGAGCTCTACCCCAGTTCTTCTACTCAAAAATAATTAAAATCTTTTAAAAAGGAGAGAGAAAAGAAAAACAGTTGTTTTTTTTTTTAAATGGAGAAAGTCAAGGAGCTGAGAGGTTAATGTGATTAAAGTGACTTGCCCAAGGTCCTACAGATGGGGGCCAGTAGGTCAGGGGTAGGACTGCCCTTATCCGCTCTTTCAACTTCCCCTCTACCGACCATGCTGCTGCCAGCTACCCGCTAGGAGAGATTTCAAGATGAAAGCTGGGTACCTGCAGCTAGGGTGTGGTGCAGGGTACTTCAGAGGGAAGACACAGATGTGCATTACTGTTACTAATACAGGTTTTCCATGCCATCTGGAAGTAGAAAGTTCCTATTGGTATGTTTTTTTGTGGGGGGGTGGGGGGGCCCAAAAGTACTATTACCATTAATTTATATGGAAAAAAATTTTGAGCATTCCTAGGCCCCCGAAATAAACTACCAGATAATATCAAATAGGGCCAATCTTCTTTTTTTAAGATTTATTTTTATTTATTTATGCATACAAGAACTGGGGTCCAGGGCAGACGTGGGGCGTGGTAGTGGTGAGAGGATTCACCAGAGACAGAGCAGGTAGCAGAACAGGTGGATCCACTGAAACACACTGCTGAGGGGAGCAGCGGGCGGGTCAGGAGAGGTCTGCTACGTCATGTGGGTCAGCTCACTGGCTGGGGATAGAACTCATGCCTCAGTGGCTGGCAACAGCTTGATAGCGCTGAGACTCACCCCTGCGCCACCAGGGAGGCCCCCATATCAGAGAGTTTAAATGAAGGTGGACTTTGAGGTGGGAAGGAGGAATGAACCAACATCAGCTGTCTTCTTTTTCTGATCCATGTGCTGTCTGAGGACTGGAGAGTAAAGTCCTGGATAGGTGGGGCCGGGGAGGGAACACAACAGTGTGATGTCCAGAGTCAAGGTTTCTGGGTCCTGTTCTTGTGACTTGTGCTCTCCATCTGAGGAGCTCCCACCCTGGGGCCTTATTGACCTCTAGGGGTGTTGTAACCTTGCCAGGTGCCTTAGGGCTGCTTTCCTGCAAGGGTCAGCAACTCCATTTTGTAGATGAGAACAGGTGAAAGAAAGCACCCAAGACAAATATCTTTGGTGGTTGATAGACATGGGTTTCCACAGCACAACAGCCGATTTTTCCTGATATTATCTAATACAGATGCCTAGACCTTAATGTCTCCTGCAGGGAAGAGAAATCCGTTGTATTTGAAATGAGAAAGGGCACCTAGAACCAGCCTGCTCAGCTTCCCCTGCTCCCTATCTTCAGCACTGGAAGCCCTTCTAGAAAGCAAGGAGACATCTGGGTATGCTTTACAGCACCCCAGGCTGCCTCTGTTCAGGATTTGTGTCCAGGTCCTGACCCCTAATACAAAGCCCTATACTTGGAAAGCCCCGGTTGGTACTGACTAAATGCATTCCAGACCCTGCACATTACACAATTGTCTAGACAGCTGTAATAGGCTTTATTGTGATTTAAGCGAGTGAGCTTGGACAAGTCACCTGACCTGTAAACTTCACAGAGCACCCTACTCTACCAACCTTAAGGATTAAGCATCAAGTGAGGTCCTACTACTGTAGAAGTACTGAAAGCAATCCTATTCCTGTGCCCTCCGGCAGGCTGAAATTCGGGGTAGCTCCTGTTCAGGTGGGCAAGTTAGCAAACAGCCCTGACCTTCCTGCTGGGGCTCTGACCCCAGGATCCTTCTAGGAGTGTGGCTTTGTCTTTGGCTTTGTTTTCTGTTCCTCACTGAGAGGTGTGGCCAGACTTGCCTCTGGAAGGCTCCATTTGCACAACGTATAGGGTACACCCCAGAGTCCCTGTTTAGTTTTCTGTCAGTGACTGTCACGCATGAGAGGCCTGTTTTTTTTTACCTCCCAAACTAGGGTGTCACCCAGGCTGCTTCCACACACTATTAAGGGGGTAATTTATGACTGGGCAGGAGACACACTTAAGGGAACTTCAGATGGAAGTTCACTGGCTAAAAACTTGACCTTTCATTTGTCCCAAGGCCACCCCCCTTTTTTTTAAAGATTTATTTATTTATGCATACAAGAACTGGGATGCAGGCCAGAGGTGTGTGTTGTGGTGGGGGAGTGAGCGATGAAGAGGAGTCACCAGAGACAGAATCAGGAACAGAACAGGCAGACTGACTGAAATACACTGCTGAGGGGAGCATCAGGCAAGAAAGGAAAGGTCTACCGTACCATGTGGGTAGCTCCCTGGCTGTCCGAGATCAAACTCATGCTGCACACCCACTCAATGCACGTGCCAGCTGCTGGGGACACATAATCTACATGGAGACTGAGCGAGCAGACAATAATATATAACTAGAAATTAGAAGGGAATTATAACTTGTGATCAGACCAGAGAAGAAAACAAGCAGGGTATCTGCCAGGGAATGACTGGGAGGGATCTGATTTAGGTTGGGTGGGCAGAAAAGGCCTCTCTGAGGAGGTGACATTTAAGCTACAACATGAGAAAGAGAAAAGGAGGCATCCTGAAGGGCGGAGGGAACTGTACAAGAGCCTCTCAGGTGTAGAGGCCTGTAGGTCTGAGGGAAAGTTCTAGGTTTTTCTTTAGTAGGGAAAGGGCTGCTGTGCCTACGTGAGCTGGCGAGGTGTGTTGGGAGATGAGGTTGGAGAGGGAGGCAAGGCTTGTGGGCTGTGATAAGGCCTTTTACTCTTGGAAGTACTTCTTCAGCTTTCTGGCTTGAGGGTTGGGAGGGCACCTGTGAGATCAGGGCACCCCACTGGCCGGCGTGGCAGAGACGTGGACTATGCACTCTCTCAGTGTTGGAACCGGAGCCTGCAAGAGAGTTTCTGTGGCTTCCCCACGCAAAGAAGCCAGTAGAACAGTTTGGTTTGCAAGTGCTGGGTGGGGTCTAAGCAGAGCAAGACTGAAGGGCAAGGTGCACATATCCACTTTCAATACTGAAGAAAACAAGGTAATAACAGGAGTCCTGGACCTAATGGAAAGTTCAGAACAAGGTGGGTGGGGATTTGGAGAAAACTGGCATTGAACCAGGAAGTCCTGGGACAGAGGGGAAACTTAACCTTGTGTTGCTATGCTAATGCAGTGCTTTTTGCAACCCTTCATGCTTTTGGGCTGTAACCTCGGTGGGCTATAAGCTCAAGGTCACACTCGCCTGGCCAGACAGGTTTTCAAAGTTCAGAATCCACTACAATTTGCTGGGCAGTAGGATTTGGGTTTCTGTTCATTACAAAGATCAATAAAGATAGAAAGGCCAGGGAACTCTTAGTTTCTGGTGAATATCTGAGTGAGTGTTTATACGTCTTGAATGGTGAACAGGAAACAGGCAGAATAGGAGAAGGGCTCCCCAAAGAAGGACATCTGTGCTGTAAGGTAAGGAGGAGCTGGGGGGAAAGCCCCAAGACTGGGGGGACCTCCTGGCTTCATGTAAGACCAGAGCAGCAAATAGGGTTAGGAGATAGGACATCATGTGCAATGTCTTCCCAGAAGGGTCTGGAGGGGGGTGTGTAAGGCCCTTCCTGACATGCTGCCTCTGTGGTGTTTTCCAGGCCCAGAGGCTGCTGGCCCCGAAAGTGCCCCACCGATCCTTCTTTGAAACCTTCATCAGGACCCTCATCATCCTTTGTGCTGCTCTGGCTGTGGTGCTCGCCTCTGTCTCCATCTGTGATGGCCACTGGCTCCTGGCTGAAGACCGCCTCTTTGGCCTGTGGCAATTCTGCACCATCTCGAACCAGACTGGACCTCACTGCTTCAGAGACCTGAGTCAGGCACACGTGCCTGGGCTGGCGGTGGGCATGGTCCTGGCCCGCAGCCTGGGCAGCTTGGCCGTGGTGGCTGCCATTTTTGGCCTGGAATTTCTCATGGTGTCCCAGCTGTGTGAGGACTTCTACTCCCGGCGCAAGTGGGCTACAGGCTCTATCCTGCTCCTCCTGTCTTTCATCCTCTCATTCGGGGGGCTGCTGAGTTTTGTGATCCTCCTCAGGAAGCAGGTCACACTCACCAGCTTCACCCTGATGTTCTGGTGCAAATTCACGGCCTCCTTCCTCTTCTTCCTGAATGCCATCAGTGGCCTTCACATCAACAGCATCACGCAACCCTGGGCCGACGCAAGGGAATTTTAGGCCCTTCTCCAGGGACATCAGATTCTACAAGAAATTGTGGCCAAGATGGGACTTTCCCAAAATGGAACTTTTAGCTGGGGTAAGGGTGGGACAGTGACCTTTAAATTGCTGCCTCTTAGCCAATAATCTTTGGATGGTCAGCTGGAAATGACCCAGCAGATTTTGTAGCTAATCTGCAGGGTCAGAGGCCAGGAGGACACCTGAGTGTCACCAGCTGCACAGGCTTAGCCAAGTTAATAGGTGTTGATTTTAGAAGAAACTATTTAAAACTCTTTTCCGTGAATCCTTCCTGGGACGGGAATAGATTTGGAAGCACCTCAGGCAACCTGGTGCTCAGGCCAGCTACACAGCCAAGTGCATTTCACACCTGTTTTATTGACTTTATGCTGGGATACAGGTCTTAGGGGCCCTGAAGTGCCTCCTGGGGTTGCTAAGAGTGAATCCTTCTTCCAGCTGTGGGTATCAACATCAGCTCACAGGGCCTTTGTGTATATTTCCTGGTGTATATTTCCTGGCTTTAGCTTTGGTCAAAGGGAGGCAGTGTTCAAGCTTCCTAACAACTTCTTGCACATAGGTTTTCAAACCATTTCACTTGACTCCTGGCCTTTAAAGTGAGACCCATGGTCCCTGGTTAACCCTAGCTATCAGCAGCTGGCTGTTGTTCCAAGGACTCTGCTTGTTGGGATCCCATCTTGATTCTTCAAGAAGAGTTCTTGAGCAAGCCTTCCAGTAGGTCCCCAACAGTCCTTCCTGGGGTGTGTGTGTGTGTGTGTGTGTGTGTGTGTCTTTGGTAAATGTATGATGGCCACAGGTACAATTTTTGATCCTAGAACATATTTCAAGGACATATATCTGGACCTGCTCGATTCCAGGAGGTAAAGAGGACTGGCCCGACCTTGGGTAATGATTAACAGCTGCACTGGGGATGAGTGCACGTGAAGAGGGCCAGGAATCAGTGGAGATTTCCATCCTTGCCTGCAGATCTTGCATTTTTGTGCATCGGATTGCCCTTTTGCAGTCCCTTTTCTGCCCAGTAGGTGGGGCTTTTTGCCCTCAGCTGCTGTTTTCTACACTGTCTCCTCCCCTGTCATCTAAATTCTGGCCTTCCTTGATTCATTCTGGCTGCCACAAAGGGGCAAAGGAGTGAGCTTTTTGTCTCTGTTTCTTTTCTGTCCAGTGGAATCATGTCCTAATTCCTGCTGCACATGCCTCTGGCTGTGAGTAACCTGTGTCAAAGGGCAGTGAGGACAGAGGGGCACTTTATACCACATTAGTTCCTATAAGGAAGTTGGGGGTTCTGAAGCTCTCCTGGCCTCCATTGTGACTTGAACAGATTAATTCAGCTGTTGTCTTGAAGGCTGTAGGGAGAGAGCTACCTGACAAGTGAATCAACAGTATGTCTACGTAGGGGGGCTCCACTTAGGGCCAAGTGCCTCCACTTATGCTTCCTGGGTCTCCAAGTCCCTGAAAGGTGGTGGGTGGTGTCATGGAAGCCCCCTCCAGGAAGGGGTAGGGACTGAGCTGGAGGATCCTTACCTTATTTTTCAAAGGCAAAACGTGGCAAATACAGACTAAATCTCATTCCAACTACTCTTTATTTGCCTGCCTCCTGGAACCCATGGTCTACTCTTACCAGAAGAATATAATGGAACCAAATCTCAGACCCCTTCCCACCCATGGTGCCCCAGGTTCCTTTAATTCTGAGGAATCATCAACCTCCTCAACTGAAGACCTGGAGGAGGGGTCTTATTGGTCACAGGAGATGGCATCCGGCTGTTGGGAAGCTGACTGTCCAGCAGCAGTGTCCAGCTCTAACAGGGCCCACACCGACCTCAGTCATAGGTGGCCCTGCTCCAGCCTCTCAGATGACGCTGGCCCTGTGGGAGCTTCTGTTTTGCTCCGAGGTGCTGGCCTTGGTGCTGTGAGTGAGGCCACTGGTGCCATTGCTGAAGGAGGAGCTGAGGGCCATGCGGTACAGTGGGAACTCACAGAAGTGCCACTGGCGCCACTTCTTCTGCACCTCCAGCTGCACCTGCCAGGAGACTAGCCATCAGCCTTGTACTCAGTGCAGACTTGCCCCCCCCCCCCGCCAGCCTCCTCCACATGGGCCTGCCATTCCTGCCTGCTGCCATGCTTTCTCTTCTTCAGACCACTCTGATTGACCTGTTTTAGCTACTAGGTATTGAGGAACCCATCTCCCTTGGGTGCCTTCATCTTCAATCGCACCATGAATGTCCCCAAGAAAGGGCTTGTGCTTGCTTCACAGACTTCACAACCCAAACCCCATGACCCCAGCAGTAACAGCAAAACTTTTGAGGCTCGGCTTAATGCTTGATCTTGGGAAAACATCAGCACTTTTCCCATTCAGTGTGGTGAACCGGATGTTAACAGTCCCAGAAGGGCTACGTGTGTGCAGTACCATCTTTGTTGATTGTGTAGCTGCTGTGTTCTGACCCCAGCACTCTGAGCAGGGGCAGAGACCGTGAAGGAGCCCACGCTCATCTGGAGGTCTCTGGGGGCTGAGTTGCGCACATTCCACCCGAGCCACTCATTTTACAGAAGGGAAGACTGAGGCCAGAAAAGAGCAGTGACTGAGGTCATCAACTACAAGCAGCAGAGCAATCAGCAGCCTCAGTTCTGGGGGGGCGGTGGGGGGGGCTGCACTTCCTCCATTTCCTGAACCTCCCCAATGATCAGAATCACCTGGAGTTCTTGCGGAAAAACACTCTCAAATACAACCCAGATTTAAAGCACCCGTTTTGCTTAATATTAGAAACTGCAGGTAGGGCCCAGCAATTATTTTATTTCATTCCCCCCCCCCCAGCAATTACTTCAACAAGACCTCCAGATTTTGTCTCTCCCATTAGGTGAGTTCAGACTTCCTAAAAGACAGGCCAAAGCCTAGAACCTCAGCACCCTGCCCCCCAACACACACACACAAATACCCCTTCCCACCACACACTCTAGGGAGATCCTGAACTGGAATCCAGGGTCTGGGGAGCTGCTCAAGGAAGGTGGGTACCCAAGAACTCACCTCCCCATTGAGGAAGCAGTAGAGCACAGCCACCACCAAGCCCTGGGGAGTAGATACGGGGGTTAGTGTAGACACCTGCTCAGCACAGCCTCATCCCACCAACCTGCTCCCACCTGTGTCCTTTCATCACCAGCCCAGCCTCACTTTCTCCCAGAAAGTGTTCCAGAGCCATCCAGCACAGACTGAGCTGGGGAGAAGATAAGGGTCCCTTTCGCTGTTGTCTCCAGCATCTAGGCCAGGCTCACCTGAATTAGTAAGGCCAACGGGGAGAAGTAGGGAATGGTGGCACCTGGAGCCTCACTGGGAGGGTACAGAGCCAGCCCAGGTGAGCTCATGGACCCCATGTGGACTCATTTTCAAGATAAAGCTGGAGATGATTAAACAAGGGCAACTATACAGTTGAAAACAATTGTGTTAATGTGTGGTGTGGTCAGAACAAAGCCTTAGTGCAGGGGTATGACTGCCTTACCTACGGGACAGGTGTATGCATTTCCAAGGCCAGGAGTCCCAGGCCTACATCTGCTTTATGTGTTCTGGCATCCATAGTGCCTGTTTCCCACTGACATACCCTGGCATGCAGCTCTTCCAGAGAGAGGCCCCCAGTCTAGGATATGGGATTTGAGCTCAGAGGTTTGCATGGAGCCACTAGCTGTAAGAGTCTCTAAGTGCACTTTCTCAGCAACCAACCAGGGGCCAGCCTGCCCTCAGGCCCTCAGCTCCCCCATGAACACCCACCTCCTTAGAGGTGGGTGCCATAGCTCTGACTTCAGGTGGCCCATTCATGCCTGCCCTTAGCTACTGCTGTATTAGAAAGGCCACCAAAGAGCCACAGAACACTCTGGTGGGCTGACGACATTGACTGCTCAATGTCGTTGGCATTTTAACCAGAGTTAGTGGCAAAGCTAGGATTTATTTTAGAATTTCAGGCATCAATGACAGGTACACGCATAGGATGGGGACTATTGGATGAGCAGGAGCAGGATGCTCCCTTAAGACAGTGCCCCAAATGGTGCTGCACATTAAAATCATCTGGGAACTTTTTTTTTCGCGAAGAACTGGGGTGTAGGCCAGAGGTGGGGGTGGGGGTGAGTGAGAGGACTCACTGGAGATGGAGTGGGGAGCAGAACAGGTGGATTTTACTGAAATACCCTGCTAAGGGTGCAGCAGGAAAGGTCTGTTGTGCCATATGCGGGCTAGCTCCCTGGCCAGGGATCAAACAGGCCATAGTGGTGATAACACGAAGACTTAACTCCTAGGACACCATGGGGGCCCCACCTGGGAGCTTTTGCCCAAGTTGCCCCTCCAAATCCAATGTCTGGAGGTGGGAGCAACAGCAGCTTTGAAAGAGCCCCAGATGGCTCCAATGGGCAGTCCCATGGAGAATGACTCTCAGAGGGCAAGAAAGACAGGCGAACCTGCTGGAAGTGGGGCTCAGCTTGGCCTGGGTAGTTGAGAGATTTGGAGTTCCAGGTGCTTCATTTCATCTTTGCCAAAGCCCTAGGAGGTAGACCAGAGCATCCCCACTGAGCCACGGGGAGGAGCAGAACAGGGGGATTTTACTGAAATCCCCTGCTGAGGGGGCAGCGGACAAGACGAGAGATCTGTTGCAGGAGATGTGTTGTTAGAGAGTCAAGTGACTTGTCACAAAGCAGCTTCCCGACCCAGACCCCCATTTCACATTCCTCGGAGGCAGCGACTTGGACTCTCTTAACGAATTCTGAATAAAGGCTGATGTTACTACACCTGGGGTTTTCACATTGGGATATTTTTATGGACTTCCCAGCATTCTTTTTCAAACACCTTCCTCCCTGCCCCCCAACCCTTCCACGAAGTTCATCTTCCTGCCCCGTGTTCTGACGGCTGGGCCTGGGCCTCTGCACTGCATTATGTTGACTAAGTGTTTGCTGCGCAGAGCTCCAGAGAGGGAGTGCTAGAGTTACTTTTCCCTTTTGTTTTCCCAGGAGTCAAAGTCCCAAAGTCATTCTCTCCTAAGTTTTTATCTCTCCCCTTTTGATTGGGGAGGAATTTGGTTCCCACTGAGGGTTCCACAAGAGAGGTCCAGTCGTTTCTCTTGAGTGTGTGACAAATGCACCATCCCCCTTCCCAAACCACGCTGCTGGACTCTCCGTGGAAGACCTGGTTTTAAGTCTCTACAGTCTCTGTTTTACTCTAGGGGAGAACCCCTCTTTTCACCTTAAAGTCCCAGTCCTCATGCTCACCTGGAATGAACCAAGAGCCAATTCAAAAAACAGCTGGACCTCCATGGCATCCTCTGGGGAGAAGGCAAAGACGATGTAGTGGACTCCAAAGAGGGGGATCAGCAGAAGGGTGGACTTGGCCAGGCGCCTGGGGATACAAACATGCTGCAGCCTCCTGTCTCCTCCCTTCCCTCTGGCGCACAGTCTGGTACACCCCACTTGAGCCCCATGGCAGGGGACTTGCATCCCCAGCCCCAGACTTTTTGGATTTTATTTTTTATTTTGGAAACTTCCAATTCCCACATGTCCATCACCCGAATACCCCTCTGACCAGTCCCCAAACTTTATAATCACACACCTCTATAGTAAAAAGAATATATGAACATGGACCTGCCTGAATAACTTTATTTATAAATTATGGGCAACTATAACTGCCATTCTGTCTAATATATTATGAGCAAATCCAGCATTCTTATTTGTTTGATAATAAATATCTGTAAGAAGTTTTTAGTTTCCTAAATTAGGATCACCAAATTTGGCAAATAAAAATGTAGGCTGCCCAGTTCCATTTGGATTTCAGATAAACAGTGGATTAAGTTTTTTGGTATGAGTACTAAAAACAATTCGCTGTTTATCCAAATTGCAAACTGAACTGGGCATCCTGCATTTTATCTGGCAACTTCACACTGTTCCTCAGCACCACCCTTCTTTGGAGCCCTCTGCTCCAGTGATGTTCTGGGGAATCTGACAGCAAGTAATCCAGACCATTGCCAGAACCCCCCAAATTCCAAACATCACAAAGAAAGCCTCTGTTGGACACTGACTTACTCTAACACCTCTTATGGGCTGCATTGTCCCCCCACTCACTCCCCCAAATTCAAAAGTTGAAGTCCTCATCCCCAGGACCTCAGAACGTGACTAGAACTGCAGAGATGACTAAGTAAGAATGAGGCTATAAGGGTGGCATCTTAGGCCATTCAACTGTTGTCTATAAGAAGAGGGGAGACAGCAGGGATGCAGGCACACAGAGCAAAGATCTCACCAGGACACGGTGAGAGGCAACATCTACAAGCCAAGGAGGCACCAAACCTGTCACCTTGATCTTAGACTGCTAGCCTCCAGGACAGTGAGAAATAAATTCCTTTTGTTTAAGCAATCCAGTTGTGCTATTTTGTTATGGCAACCCTAGCAAATTAATACAGCATCTCTCTTTTAAAGATTCCAATGTATTTTTGGATCACACAAGCCTCTAGATTTGGGTCCCTGGACTTCATGGCCTTGCCCCAAAGATAAGACTTCTGCTGACTGGCATCCGGCTGCAGATGCCAGAGCATCTCTTTATTCCCAGGGCAGTGACTAGTGAACCCATCCCTCCTCCTCTTGTAGGTGCCGTAAATCCCCTGGGGCCAGATCATGGCTTTACTTTTCTTCCCTCTCCATTGGTGCCTGGCACCAATTGGGCAAAAGCAGGTGCTCAGTACATTTTTTCAGGTCACTCACTGAACATGCCTAGGTCTTCACCTTCTACTTACTTGTAATGGTTCACTTCATATCCTCTTGATTCTTGGGTTCTAAGTTTCCTCATCAGGATTCTTAGAATATTTATAAAAAGGATGAAATTAATCTGTAAGACACAGACAGAGGTAGGGCTAGAGGTTATTTGCTGTCCTGGCCACTTCTCTTGTCTTGTACCCTAGACCCAAGGACGAGGATGGACAGGCACTACAGAACACTCCCAGAAGGGCACGTCACTTCCCGCTTGGTTTCGACCCCACAGACCTGGTAAGAAAAACTGTCTGGAGTCAATGGCTCGGCCCCCTCCTACTCCTGGGCTGTGGGAACTCCAAGGTCTGCTTGGTGGTGGCATGGTTTCTCACAGTCAGAATGCACTGGAATACCCTGGAGATCATGTTAAAATGCAGGCCTGGCATGGGCCTGAGATTCTGCATTTCTTATGAGTTTCCAGGGAACGCCAAAGTGGTCTTTGGACTACACTTTGAGTCACAATGTTTTACAGCAGGGGTCCTCAAAGTTTAGGGTACAGACTGTGGGTCTCCACTTCTAGAGATTTTAGTTTAGTGAATCTGGGATTGGAATTTTAACAAACTCCTAGATGATGCTAAAGTTGTTGTGTGGAGACCACATTTTGAGAACCACTACTTCAGAGCCTTATGGAGTCACTTTGAAGTTCAGTCACCAGCTCCAGGTAGACATCCTTCATTACCTTCCTTGTCCGATTCATTGTGGCAGGAAGCGGTGATATTATTATGTGAGGACACCTGAAATATTTGTAAGAGACCAAATGCAGGCTGTGTCAAAGGTGTGTGTGTGTGTGTGTATTCATGTATCTGCCAATCAATCATAACTTCCTAAGGATAGGAATGGAGTCTCTTTATTTCTTTAGGTGTCTTGCCCCCCAGCTCTAGTATAGTCACCCACATGACAGACCTCCCCTGTCCTCTCATCATACATAAGCCAGGATCAGTGGAACTGCCTGGCCAGGCCCCCTCATTGCTCATACTCATAGTTTGGGGTCTGGGGACACTTGCCAAATGACACTGGATTAGTGGCCTGTCTGGGACTTAGCCTGATGCTGCCTTTTTGGGAACACTATTTCTTAGCTCGCTATTTATGCATCTTGTTATAAGCTGACTGTGCATGGTGTAAACTAATAAAGGCTCCTTTTAAAAAATTTTTGTTTACATTTGTATTTAATTTAAAAGGGAGCACTTTAAGGCAAAAGAAAAAGTCCTCAAGATCCCCAAAACAACAGTCAAATAGTCAAATTGTAGGGGAAAGCTAGAATTCTACCCTGTGGAAAGCTGTCTGGAGGTTCCTCAGTCTACTAAAAACGGAGCTACCATATGACCCAGCAATTCCACTCCTAGGGATCGAGCCAAAGGACACAAAAACATTGATTCAAAAGAACACCTGTACCCCTATGTTTATTGCAGCACTATTTATAATAGGTATAACCTGGAAACAACCCAAATGCCCAAAAACAGATGACTGGATCAAGAAGATGTGGTCCATGTACACAATGGAATAGCAGCTTCTATTCTAGTTCATGTCTTTCCTCCTTCCCTAATGGAAGAAGAGGTCAATGTGTCCTAAGCTTCTGTCTTTTTCCTAAGTGATGAAGCATTCACCACTCTCCTTTTTGTGAGCTAGAAGAATGTAGTTTGGGGTTTCACCTAGTCCTACTTTTATCAGTAAGCATGTTCTCTTGGTCTAAGAAGCTCATCTTTACTCTTAGAGTAAAGATAAGGTCACCCCCTTCTTGCCTGATATATGATGCTTCCCCATCTCTGTCCTTGATTCCCTAGGTCTTAACGACAGGATAATTATTCTTGGTCTTTTCCAATACACTTTAGAATTTACAACCATGTGAATTCTCCATACATATGTTATTAAATTCATTGTGTTTCCTTTACTACCCATCTGATGCTGTTCAGATTACTTGTCTAATCCTGCAGGGGAGGGGGAGGGAGAGGGATCAGAAGGAGGGAGGGAGGAGCACAGAGGACTGTGGTAATGGTGCACAGGTGCACTGGGGAAGGAAATTCTATGGGGACTACACCTGAGGTGGGGGGAAGCAAACATTGTTTAAAAATGAACAATAATGTAAAAATTATATAAATAAAGAAGGAAAGAAAAGGAAAAAAAAATAGATTACCTAAGAGGAACCCAGAGGGTTATGGGATGATTTAGTTCATGCCTCAACATGGGCAAGAGCCAGTTCTGTGAGCTCTTAACTGCTGCCTGCCCCCCACCCCCTTCCCAGATACCATCCTTTGGAATGGAGTTTCCAGCCCCTTGTGCTGCAGGCCAAGCTCTAGCAACCCTGTGGTTTGTTCCTGTTTCCTGGCCTTCTGTCCCTGCAGGCCAGGTACCCACTGGAGCCCCTCAGGGGTGGATGGACACTTACCAGGATGGAGAGGATCACGGGCCCTCGAATGACCCACCAGATGGATGCATTGGTGTTGATGTTCCAGCACCTGTGGAGGGACATACAGGCAATGTGCGGAGTGGGGCTGGGCTGGCCAGGAAAGACTTCCTCTCTGAGGTGGCCTTCAAATGAAGGTCCCCCCTCCCACTATGGTCCTGAGCCCCTGGGGTTGTGTGATCGGTACCCACCCCTCTTCTGGTGCCCAGGAGCCCTGCTGTCTCCAAGAACTCCCAGACAGCCTCTAGGAGCACATATGTGGGACGTGAACAGTGGAAGACCCTGGATCCCCAAGCTGGACATTGTCAGAATTCACTGGGGAGCATGGTAGGAAACTGTCCCCAGCAGCAGGCTGATGACATCATTAGGCATGGGGTGGGCGGGTACTTGACCAATTGGACAGCACATGCCTGGTCTAAGGCAGCCACAACTCTGCGCCAGCTGATATTTGCCACAAGGGAAAATGGGAAATGTTGCAGAATGTTACAATTTTTCTAGAGAAGTTGCAAATTCAGGTTTTTAAAAAATTGCATTCATCTAGCTCAAAGAATTATTTTGAAAGAATTATTTCGAGCTGAATTTGGACTTCAGACACTTGCAAGCCTGATCTGCTCTCATCCACTTACTGGCCTGATTAGATCAAGAGGCTGTTTAAGAAACTGTCTCCCCAGGTGAGGTGGCCAACTTTGCTGTGTACGCCTTTGCACCAGCCACCCTAGTGACACCGCTAGGAGCTCTCAGTGTCTTAGTGCCATTCTCTCTTCATACTTTCTAAATGAAAGACTTAATCTTCATGAGAAAATTGGTTGTTTGCTAAGTATTTTAGGATCCACGGTTATGGTTATTCATGCTCCAAAAGAGGAGGAGATCGAGACATTAAAGGAAATGTCTGACAAGCTAGGAGATCCGGGTTTTGTGATCTTTGCCACACTTGTGGTCATTGTGTCCTTGATATTAATCTGCGTGGTGGGACCTCGCCATGGACATACAAACATTCTCGTGTACATAACTATCTGCTCTGTGATTGGGGCATTCTCCGTCTCCTGTGTGAAGGGCCTGGGCATTGCTATCAAAGAGCTGTTTGCTGGAAAGCCTGTGTTGTGTCAACCCCTGGCCCGGATTCTGCTGCTGAGCCTTACAGTCTGTGTGAGCACACAGATTAATTATCGAACAGGGCGCTAGATATATTCAACACTTCCATCTTGACTCCAATATATTATGTATTCTTTACAACATCAGTTTTAACTTGTTCAGCTATTCTTTTTAAGGAGTGGCAAGATATATGCCTGTTGATGATGTCATTGGTACTTTAAGTGGCTTCTTCACCATCATTCTAGGAATATTCTTGTTGCATGCCTTTAAAGACATCAGCTTTAGTCTAGCAAGCCTGCCAGTGTCTTTTCGAAAAGAGGAAAACACAATGAATGGCAACCTCTCTAATATGTATGAAGTTCTTAATAATAATGAAGAAAGCTTAACCTGTGGAATTGAACAACACACTGGAGAAAATATCTCT